TATATATATATATATATACTTGGGATCATGTGAGAACAAAGGTTTTTCGTGAGACTCGTAAGACCAATTCTCAACCATTGAATTAGATCTACAATATGACAATCTGGACATTCATAAACGTCACAAGACTTCTCAATAATCACAAAATTGTCACCGTGCAACTTTAGACCATTAGATCATTAGCTTATAAAGTTGATCAATGAACATAAATTAGTCTTACAGGTTTCACGAAAAACCCAACCATATATATATATATATATATATATATATATATATAATAGAGATTGTGTCTTGTTAGGTCTATAATGGTGCAAATGGAACAAATGCCTAAAATCCTACTTGACATAGTCTTCCAAAGAATGGTTGGTGCATGTTTGTCTTTACCATAATTGGCCATTGCCAAAGTACAATAACATCATCTCATTCATGTACCCCCTTTTCACTCTTTATTTTATAACACTACTTGCATTGTCTATTATTTTCTTACATAAAACGCCAAATGAAAACAATTCAGTATATCTTATTTAAATGTGAGCTATCAAAATGTATACAGATTTATAAAACGATTATTTTCATGAAAATTTCCTATTTTTTCCATAAAAACATGCGGTTTTAGCATTTTGTATGTCATATGGAAAATATGTAAAAAAACAAAAAGTTTCATTTTTGAGTTTTGACGTTATCACTTTCATAGTAGGTTATGTTAAGCTTTCATGAGTTAGTTTTTACCTGATTTAAATGTATGTTATAATGGATTTATATGATAAAAATCAGATACTAGATTAAAAAAATGCATTTTTAATATCTTGTTTGTGAATAAATAAATAATTCTACAAATGAATTGAAAAGATCATTCACTAGTCATTTGCCTTGAGTAAGTACATGATACAACCAATGATTTTCTTATTAAAATAAATTAATAGAAATAGTCTTAACTGCCCTTGAGCATATTCTTGAATATATTTTCCGATATGCCCATTTCCTATATATTTTTTTTTATGTAGTAGACAACTGGGGGATATAATAGTAAAATCATTATCGTATAAAGCATATTTTACAAATGGTATCCAATAAATAGGCTTGAACATAGCTCACTCTCAAAAACTAATTCAAAATGAGGCTATCCAAATATCTCTCTTGACACATATACATACAGAGTCAGATTCAGCGAAAAATTGAAAAAAAAAAACTAAGGAACGTTCAATAACTGTTTATCTGTATGGTATGCACACGTGCATATAAGTAATTAGTTAGACACGCACATGTGCATAGAAACTAGAAAACATTTTCATGTACTTGTATGATGTGCATATCGTAGAGATAAATGATTATTAGAATGTGTAGAATATACATTTAGATACGATACAACACAACTATTTTCTTCAGAAATAAAACATGAGACAAGGACCAGTTTAGATAAGGCAGCATCTACACATGTATAAACTTGTTTGTAGGTATGCCAAAGGTAAAGAGAACAAGGTTTGCCAGGCAAAAAACCACTAGTCAAAAGTGATACAGGGGAAGATGTTAGCATCACACCTTTATTTAGAGTTGCAAAAAAGGGAAAAAGACAAGCAAATAATTACACAATTTGTGCAACCAATAATAACAATAATTGCAATAAAATGAAAACACAAACGTATCACATTTACATGGTTCAACACTTCGGCTATAATCATAATCATTGTTAGAGCTCTAATTCTCATGAACGTTGTTGTGATTTTAAAGAAATTATCGCTTCATTTTATGTGATTGGATTCATAAAATAATATTTGGTTGTTAGTTAAGTTATAACACTGACTACAAGGTGTGGAGTACGTACTCGTATAAGCTAACTAGAACCCAAGAATGCTGGATGACGTCATATACCAGGGGTCAAGGTGTAGAGTGCATACTCGTGTAATATAGTATATCTATTAAAACACCAACTACATTTATACGAACGAAAATCAGACAGAACATGGATAGAAATTTAGGGGCCGTTTATCGGTAAAGTGGCAAGAGCAACGCTCCCACTTACCTTGACGGGTAACATTCTCAGCCATCAAAATGGATTGTTAATAAGCGCTTATTAAATAAGATTCTCGATGCTTGGTAAACAACCCCTAATTGGTATAACTGTATATTTTCGGTTTAAATGAGACTCCATATCTAACATGTGTTTAACTACCAATTGTGTGTCTTTGAGGTTATATTCGTTTGGACGCCTAATAGAACAAGTCAACATTGTTCTTAACACCAAGAAATCTGACGTCCATCGTAAAAGCCGGCACTCTTTTAACCTTCCTATTTCTTAATACTTATACCACAATCACATCTTTTTCTTTCAACTTCTAAAACCATTTTTCCCTTCTCATTTTTTGTTTTTCGGTCCTTTGAAAAACCCTATTGGAGAAGAATCGATCCGGTGACGAGATCATGGACCAGTTGATAAGTTTGGAGCCATTGAATGTGGTTGCAATACGGGTCGAACAGGGTCAAAAGTGTTACGGTAAGATCACTTTGAAAAACGTTATGTACACCATGCCGGTGGCTTTCCGCCTTCAGCCAATGAACAAATTCCGGTACAGCGTTCGTCCACAATCCGGAATCATATCTCCTCTGACCACTCTCACGGTGGAGATCATGTATGATTTGCCTCCCAATTCAAGCCTTCCGGAATCATACCCGTATTGTGATGATTCGTTCTTGTTACATAGCGTGGTGGTTCCTGGTGTCGCGGTTAAGAATACTTACACAAATGATTCGGTCCCTAGTGATTGGTTTACTACAAGAAAGAAGCAGGTGTTTGTTGATAGTGGTATCAAGGTCATGTTTGTTGGCTCAATGGTGATGGCTAAGCTTGTTGCCAACGGGTCTATGGACGAAATTAGAGATGTTTTGGAGAAGAGTGAGCCATCTTGGAAGGCTGTAGACTCGGTTGATTCCGAAGGTCAGACTTTACTTCATCTGGCAATTGGTCAAGGTCGAGCCGACCTTGTTCAGGTGCTACTCGAGTTCAAGCCAGATGTAGAAGCTCGGAACCGTGTAGGATTAACCCCACTTGAGGCTGCAGCAGCCTCAGGTGAAAGCTTGATTGTAGAGCTCTTACTGGCTCATCAAGCCAGCGCACAGCGGTTAGAGCCATCGGCTTGGGGTCCAATCCACCTTGCGGCTGGTGCGGGCCATATTGACGTTTTGAGGCTACTTTTGCTCAAAGGTGTCAACGTGGACGCACTAACCAAAGACGGGAATTCCGCTTTACACCTTGCCGTGGAGGAGCGGAGACGGCACTGTGCCCGACTGCTGTTGACCAGCGGTGCGAATCCCAATATTCGTAATTCCAGTAGAGACGAGACTCCATTGCATATAGCTGTAGCTCTTGGGGATGATAAAATGGTTAACCTTCTACTCCAAAAGGGAGCTAACAAAAACATTCGAAACCAATCCCGGCAAACCGCTTATGATGTTGCCACCGAGCACGGACATACGCGGCTATTCGACGCACTCCGGCTTGGCGATAGCTTGTGTGTAGCTGCAAGAAAAGGCGAGATTAGAACCATCAATAGGCTTCTTGACGGTGGAGTCGCCATTAATGGGCAGGACCAGCACGGATGGACCGTTTTACACCGCGCCTCGTTCAAGGGCCACACCAATGTAGTCCAGATTCTGATGGAAAAGGGAGTCGATATTGATATCGATGCAAGGGATGAAGATGGATATACTGCTCTCCACTGTGCTGTGGAATCTGGGCATGTTGATGTGCTTGAATTACTAGTAAAAAGAGGTGCAGATATTGAAGCAAGAACCAACAAGGGTGCGACTGCAATGCAAATCGCGGAGTCACTGAACTACACCGGAATCACCAGAGTTCTGGTCCATGGAGGTGCCGAGAAGGATGAACTCGCACTTTTGAGTAAAACTGCACCAGAATTTGCGAGTAAAACTGGTACCAGATATGGCAACGAGATGGGATCGATGTCGATGAAGAAGATGACTACTCGAACAAGAGCAGTTTGTGGTAGCTTTGATCAATCTTCTACACCATTGATTATGATCTAATGAACTCAAATTCATTCTTCTGATGTTTTGATGAACCTTTCTTCCACGCACAAAAAACCATCTGTAGTTCCGTAATTATTTTGATAGCAGTTAACTCGAGAACTGTTCGTTCTTGTATTAATCCCAAAAAATTATTCTTGTATTGTTTGAGATCCAGCATTTAGATGTCCAAATGGAGTTCCAAAAGTTATCATATCAACCCTAAGTTCTAATCAAACTCGTAGCAATAAGGATTCTATCACAAACTTAACCCCAGAAAATTGAATTTGACAACATCTATTAGTGATTAATGCGATCATTGATCTTGGAATCAGAAAACCTCACGTCAGATTCGAGCTTGAAAACTAGTTCGATCTAATCCAAAAATGAAACAGGGTATCCTTGTTTAGAGCAGTTACTGAAATTAAAGCAATATAGAGGATGCAGAAACGTACCGCATAGATGACTCGATTTAGAAATTTTCAACCCTCCATTGAAATGTGTGAGGCATTTTATCAAACAGGTGGTGGGCGAATCAAATACAGCTAAACGAGTAGGATAAAATCAACCTGAAGGCTGCAAATTCCGACTTGCATCGTTCATTCTTACGATTCAAATAGCTTGATTCATGTGATAAGATGGAAAAGGTTGAAATATGTTCCGAGGTATTAATGTTTTGAGGTCAGTTTGAAAATGAATAGAAGTTAAAGGTTTAAATTTGTCAATATGCCAAAACTTGGGGGGCAAGAGGAGGGTAGGGAGCTTTTTGGACAGATGCAAGCTAAGACGTGCGAGCACGTCAACATGTTTAACGTCGGCATCTTCACCGTTAACGGTCTTGTGTCGGTGACGGTGGTTATGCAATTAATATTAAAAAAATAAGTATATATGTAACATCAATTTCAATGAATGCCACTGTAAAATCACAACTAAAACCAAATTATCAAACTGGTGAATACATGATGTTTGAAAAAATTAGCTAACTAGAACGTAAAATATCAAAAATAGTATATAGAAAAATTAATCAATTATGATATTTTAAGATATAATTAAAATAAATTTTTAATAATATAATATATTAATTAATACAAATAAGATGGTAAAAATTNTGCATATTATGCACACCATGGGATTCGAACCCGTGACCTGCTCTGATACCAATTGTTAGGATCAAGCGCTTACCCACTACACCAAAAGCAATTGCCTTGGTGAAGGCACAACCTTATTTCCCTTATAGCGTAGCAGCCAGCGCCACGTTTCGATTTAGGAAGATGCTGGAACCGTGACCAACAAAAATGATTCTTTTCGTGACATAGTTGCAAATTCACGTTTTGAAACAATATATGTTAACCAAATAGAAAAACTATACTTAAACGGAAAAAAAATCATGTAAAATAAAACCTTAATATAGAAGTTCTCACGAATTTCAATTTTTCTAGAGTTTTCAAATGATTAAGCACATAGATGAGGTTTGCTTTGCAAACCATCCATTTCATACAAACTTTACAAACTAATCACATCCATCCATTTTTTTGATGAAAAACCAAGATTGAAGCAAACTAAATAAGTAAAGTAAAAAAATGAAAGAAAAAAAAAAGAATTCATATTGGAGACACGGAAGGGCAAAACGGAAAAAAACATGTTCTATCAACTTGTTTCATTACAGCTGTTATACATATGAACCTGATGCAATCATATATGACTTATGAACTTGTTTCATTACAACTGTTATACATATGAACTTGTTTCATTACAAACTGTTATACATACCTATGAATATAAACTTGTTTCATTACAGCTCTTATATATATGAACATGATGCAATCATATATGACCTTGTTTCATTGGAAATTAGTGGCGATTTTTTTAGACAAAATTATTCTACATTTTTTAAAATGTGGCGATTTTTTTCAAAAAATTTAATGGATACCTCAATTAAATCTTTGTTAATATTGTGTTAGTCAATATATAATCCATAAATTCAGAGTTCCTTTTTGTCTATACTATAAGTTACGTTTAGCAAATTAGGTGATAAACTGACTGATAGCTAATAAACTAACTGATAGTTGATAAGTTAGTTGATAGCTTATAAGCTAGTTGATGAACAAGATGGTAAAAAAGATTAAAAAATATAATATATTGATTATAAGAATTTTAAATTGATTATTATTTATTATAATATTTAAATTTGTTAAAACAAATATTAAAAAAAATATTATTTATTATTTTTAAATAGCCATTACATGTAATATAAATAAAAGTAAAAATGGTTTACCTCACATATTTTAATTAATTAATACTTTTAAATATATCTATTCAAACTATTTTACACATTTTTATTAGGGAAAAGTACAATAAAAACCATTGAACTTTCTTGTTTGGAATGATTAAGTCCTTGAACTTTCTTTTGGAACAAATAAGTCCTTGGACTTTCTAAAACATGTTAAATAAGTCCTTGAACATTCCAAAATATGTTAAATAAGYCCTTGRACAATTTTTGGAACAAATAAGTCCTTGGACATTCCAAAAAATGTTAAATAAATCATTGGACAATTTTTGGAACAAATAAGTCCTTGAACAATCCAAAACATGTTAAATAAATTTTTGAAAAAAATAAAGTGGTAAAATAGTGAAAAAAATCCCGAAAAAAACCCAATGAACATTCATATTTTGAACGATTAAGCCCCAAAATATTTTTTGAACCAAAAAGTATTTAGATCTATAAAATTAAACAAATATAACAAAAAAGTACTTACATTTACAAAAAAATAATTACCATTTTAACTAGTTGTACAAGTCATAAGAATGTATCCAACATGTTTTATAAAAGTTCAAGAAGTTATTTAACATGTTTTGGATTCAAGGACTTATTTGTTCCAAAAATTGTCCAATGACTTATTTAACATTTTTTGGAATGTCTAAGGACTTATTTAACATTTTTTGGAATGTCCAATAACTTATTTGTGCCAAAAAATTGTCCAATGACTTATTTAACATGTTTTGGAAAGTTCAAGGACTTATTTGTTCCAAAAAAAAGTTCAAGGACTTAATCATTCCAAACAAAAAAGTTCATTGGTTTTTATTGTACTTTTCCCTTTTTATTATCTATGAAACAAAATAAGTATAACTTTGATACATAATATTAAAATTATATTATTTATGTTTTGATATATAAGTATATTTAATAATAATTAAAAAATAATAATATGAAAATAATTGATATGATTAATAATTAGTAAATAATGTTAATGTACAATGTATAATTGAATTTAATTAATTTTTAATTTTTAATTTACATTAATTAATATTAGTAATATTTATATTTTATTAATATTTAAATATAATTAATATTAACGAAGGTTATAATTGAAAAGGTGACAATAATCTACTAAACCATTACTTCAAGTAACATTTCAATAAACTAGCTTATGTGTATCCAGGCATGTACCCAAAAAAAAATAAGCTAGTTTATTTTTACCAAACAATGCACGAATCTTATTTCAAACGAAAAGTTAAGCTTTTATTTTTAAAAAAGTGAAACAATAATGTTTCAAGTTGAAAAAAATCAGATAATGTTTTCTGTTTCATGGTGGTCCAAACCAAACCGACGTCTGATTTTTTGAAATATTTAAAACCGAAAACTAGTTTCTAAAATAGTAAATAACAAATATGGTTGATCCAACTAAGTTTTGCGGTTTGTTTTGTTATATCAACTTGTACCAATTTTTACCAACTAATTTGTAAAGGGTAACTTTTAGGTTCATGTCATGTCGTTGTCGCCTATGGTACCAATGACCTTTACGTTTCCAGGGTCTAATTCATCATGTGATCAGTGCACATCGTCATTGGTCTTTTAGGTTTTTTGTTAGCATAAGGGCATATCCACTACTCCAACTCCATAACAAATCCCGTTTTTACACAAATTCACCGTATTTTCAAAAACTGTGTTAGAGTATGGATTTGTATATTTTTACTCCTACAGTTATGTTATACCATATGCTAAAAAACTAAAATAGAGAAAATATAGAAATTTGTAAATTTGAAAAAATCTCAAAAACTACATATTTAAGAGAGAAAATAAGTAGAAGACGATGAAATTAAGTGTTTAGGATAGAAAAATAATATTTTATTAAATGTATTAAATATTTTAATAATATAATTAATGATGTAATATATAATGTAAAGTTTGATGTATTGGTGCTTTATTGCCTGTTGACACCAATTTAATTGTTAAAGACGTATAAGACCGAAATTGTAATAGAATACAAGTTCAACCTATGGGGGTCCCAGTTTCAACCACCTAACTCACCAACCCTCTCAAATATATATTTATACATGTAGAGAATGTTTATTTTACAAACCATGTTATTTATATAAATCTTATTTAATTAATTATAATTTTTCATTTTGTTTATTTTTTTTGTAATTATGAGAGGCTGATTAATCATTTTTATTATGAATGGTGTTAATAATGGATATTATCATCTTCATTATTTTAATTTTTAAGAAATAAATAAAACAGTTTTATTAAAATCTCATTAAGTGAAACAATTTAATACTCATATATGAAATAACTTCATCAAAAAAAGTATTATATAAAACAATTTCATAAATTTTTTTATAAGATTAAACAATAAAATTGACGGATAAAAATGGTTTACAAGGTTTGTACAAATTGTTTTACGTGCAAATTATTAACGTAATAAACAAAACATATTTGGGCCCTTGTTTATGGTAAGATAACAACAACAAAAATAAGGGACCGGAAATGTAATTCCTTCTATTTACTTTTTTAAAGTACGGGGGTCAATTTACCAAGTTACGATGCTTATTCAAATATGTAGCACAGCCGCTTACATAGGCGCGTGCCACTACGCCTTGCTTTTTTTATATATATTTATTTTTTATATTTTTATCTTTTACGTTGTAAAAAGAATATCAGTAAAAGAATATATATAATATGATAGAAGTAAAAGTAATCGGTTGTAATAAATAATAACATAATTTTTTATTTGAATATTTTATATTTTCTGAAATTTAAAACTTGTTAATAAAGATAATATTTTATTTGAAATTTATTATTTTCCTAATTTTTGAAAAATCGATAGCTTTTTTTTAATTGATTTTCAAATCAAACAATTTTTATAATATTTAATTAATAGCTTCTAAAAATTGCATGATTTTCTCTAAATTTATATATTGAGATACGATTTTCACATTTGAAATTTCACACCAGAACACTGTAAAATAAATTTCATAGTGTTTTTGCTGTGAAGATTCGAATTTTTTTTATCTTCACAATATTTTGTTGTGAAATTTCAAGTGTAAAAATTGTGTCTTACGAAAACAATATTGTCTCATGTGAATTCAATATATATAGATATTTAATTAAACAAAATAAAATATTTACTTTTTATATAATGTGTTTACTTAAAAAATTGGTTATATTTAGGAAAATAAGGTAAATATATAGAGTTTTTTTAAATGTGATATGTTAATTTAAGAATGATAATATGGATTTCTGGAAACCCTACAGCATAATTAAGTGTGTACACAAGGTTCACATGATGTTTATATGTGATGGGTTTTGATTTAGTCGGTGTTCATAATATGTTCAAAAATAATATTAGATCTTCTAGATTTAAAGTGTGTTCACAATCGTGGAATTTGAAGAAATTTGATGGAATTGGAATGACAATTTTTTTTGATCAAATTCAAATTCTTTTGTTTGGTTTAATTTTATGAAATAGATGAACTTCTTTAAATCCCTTTGAATCACATATATTAATGAATTCATCATTACTTGACATAAGTGAAAGAATTGAATTCCATCTTTTGCATTCAATTTAATCAACAACACATAACTTTGCCCCCACCACGACCATTCTACTATTATTGTAATCACATCTGCCACCCCCACCCCCACCCCACCTCTGACCATCAATGTCATCATGCCACCAATGGAGATTCCAATTATTTTAAGAAATTTCATTCCAATTTGTATTGGTCAAACGCGTGATCAAATTCCATTAACAGATTTTAATTCTACTAAATTTCATTATGCAAATAAAATGTTTTTTAATAATATTTTAAAAAAGTAAATTTTATTTTTTGAACAAATCTTTTAGAACTTTTAAAGTGAACGTAAATTAAAAACGTAAGGGAAAAGTACAATAAAAACCAATGAACTTTCTTGTTTGGAATGATTAAGTCCTTGAACTTTTTTTTGGAACAAATAAGTCCTTGAACTTTCCAAAACATGTTAAATAAGTCATTGGACAATTTTTTGGCACAAATAAGTCCTTGGACATTCCAAAATATGTTAAATAAGTCCTTARACATTCCAAAAWATGTTAAATAAGTCMTTGGACAATTTTTGGAACAAATAAGTCCTTGAACAATCCAAAACATGTTAAATAACTTCTTGAACTTTTATAAAACATGTTGGATACATTCTAATGACTTGTACAACTAGTTAAAATGGTAATTATTTTTTTGTAAATGTAAGTACTTTTTTGTTATATTTGTTTAATTTTATAGATCTAAATACTTTTTGGTTCAAAAAATATTTAGGGGCTTAATCGTTCAAAATATGAATGTTCATTGGGTTTTTTTCGGGATTTTTTTCACTATTTTACCACTTTATTTTTTTCAAAAAGTTATTTAACATGTTTTGAATTGTTCAAGGACTTATTTGTTCCAAAAATTGTCCAAGGACTTATTTAACATATTTTGGAATGTTCAAGGACTTATTTAACATGTTTTGGAAAGTTCAAGGACTTATTTGTTCAAAAAAAATTCAAAGACTTAATCATTCCAAATAATAAAGTTCATTGGTTTTTATTGTACTTTTCCCAAGACGTAAATAAAAAAATTCGAGATTTTTAGTTTTTAATTTTTACTTTTAGGAAAATTATGGAAAAACAAGCGCGTGAGACACCAAATGGTTAATTGTGATCAGATCTACCGAGTCACCATCTCACCCACCCCCTCAACGCTTGTATAAATAAGCCCACCTCCCTCCTCTCCAATTCGTGTCCACCATTCTTCTCTCCTTCTCTACCTCCGGAAGAACGAACCAATCCGTCTCTCCTTTGAGACCCCCTTTGATTCGGAACTTCCGTTTTTCTCTCCTTCTTACAGGTACGTCACTCATGTTGACTTCAATTCCATTTCAACAATGTTCTCTTGCCCTGCTGATTCCTTTCCAGATTTTCTGCTTATCATGATACCTAGATCTCTAGTAATTACTCTAGTTTTGCTGTTAATCAAATGCACTTTTACAATATTGGAATTAGATCTGGAGGTAAACGTCCGTGATCTGCACCAATTCTTCTTTTTCCGTGTAGAGTTATGTTTTGTCTGTGCCTAGTGATGTAGCTCACTCAACTTGGATATTGAAATGTGCACGTTCAGCCATTTTTGCGATAATTTAGCACTCAGTGGGGACACCATTGTATTTTTGGTGATTGTGGACTTTGGTGGTAGTAAAAGTGTAAAACGGTAATTAAGGTCGCAGGATCTAGTAACTGAATCGTTTATGTATGGTACCGGACTTGTTTGAATCGAATTATTTGAAGATAAGGATAAGATCTGGTGTTTCTAGGGTTAGGGAACCGCAGATCTGCTTTTTAGATATGAGTTTTTTCCGTCTAGATCTAATTTTTCATGAAAATCCGTGCTTGGTCGAATGATTTTGTTTGGTTCAGTAAGATTCTGCTTCACCGTAAATGAAAGAAATTCCAATCTGCTTCAGATTTCTATATGAATTTATCTATTATATGAATTCAAGCAATGCTTTAGATTTAGTATGGACGATTGTTGAGATTGATTTAGAGTCGAAGTTAGGTTTCCAAGAAGACAAAACCTACTCTTATCTTCTTAGTCAAAATGTCGGCTTATATTGGTGTATCTGACCAGCACAATTTTTTTCTACTGTAATACCTGTAAAGTTAGCAAACAACTAGCTTTTCGGGGTTGGTGAAGGGATCAAGCATCTTGATAATGAAAACCTCAAATCCTTTATTCAATAATTAGTTCTAATTTCTCTGCAACTGCTGTGAAATTCTGTACCATACCCGATTGAGTATAGTGACTTGATGATAACAAGATCATGGTGATGATGGCCTGTGTAAAAATTTGGCTGTAATACACTGCATGTCAACTTTCTTGTCAGATTCAAATCAATCTACTTTTGAGGTTTACAATTTAGGTGAAGTTTAGCAAAACATTCGTTTTTCAACTGTAATTTGGATTTGTTGTGGTGGATTTTAATCTGAGTTGCTGTTTATCCTTTCTATTAAATTGATTGAGTTGTGGTCGAACAGAACAATGGCATCTCACATCGTCGGTTATCCCCGTATGGGACCCAAGAGAGAGCTGAAATTCGCTCTTGAATCATTCTGGGATGGCAAGAGCAGTGCTGAGGATTTGCAGAATGTGTCTGCTGATCTCAGATCATCCATCTGGAAACAAATGTCTGATGTTGGCATCAAGTACATCCCCAGCAACACCTTCTCTTACTATGACCAAGTTCTTGACACCACTACCATGCTTGGTGCCGTCCCCCCAAGATACAACTGGAACGGTGGTGAAATTGGTTTCGACACTTACTTCTCGATGGCCAGAGGAAATGCCTCTGTCCCTGCTATGGAAATGACCAAGTGGTTCGACACCAACTAGTAAGTTGGATACTTCCCCCTCGGCTTGTGGATCTTATTCTTTTTTGCGTTGATAATGTTGCATATGATACAATGGATGATTGACTCCTGTGTTCTTGATGCACAGCCATTTCATTGTCCCCGAGTTGGGCCCTGATGTGAAATTCTCGTATGCTTCCCACAAGGCTGTGAACGAATACAAGGAGGCTAAGGCTGTATGTGTTCTTGATCTGCTATTAAGAATTTAGGTTTTTCTGCTAGAGATCATGGAATCTGCTTATTGGGGTGGTTAATAATAGTTTCTTTATGCAGCTTGGAGTTGATACCGTCCCGGTCTTTGTTGGCCCAGTCAGCTACCTATTGCTATCCAAGCCAGCAAAGGGTGTTGAAAAAACTTTTGATCTTCTATCCCTTCTTGACAAAATACTTCCAGTCTACAAGTATGTCTTATTTTCTTATCATTTTATATTTTTTAAAATGAACTATGCTCTTGTTCGTGTTATAACAAGAAGTAATCTTGCAGGGAAGTTATTGCCGAATTGAAGGAAGCTGGTGCAACCTGGATCCAGTTTGATGAAGCTACCCTTGTGAAGGATCTTGAGCCCCACCAATTGCAAGCTTTCACCAAGGCTTATTCTGAGCTAGAATCAACTTGCTCTGGTCTTAATGTTCTTGTTGCAACCTACTTTGCCGATATTCCTGCTGATGCATTCAAAACCCTCACTACCTTGCCCGGAGTTACAGGTTACACTTTCGATTTGGTTCGTGGTGAGAAGACTCTTGATTTGATCAAGACCAGCTTCCCTTCAGGCAAATACCTGTTTGCTGGAGTTGTTGATGGAAGGAACATCTGGGCTAATGATCTTGCTGGATCTCTCAGTGTCCTTGAGTCTCTTGAGGCCATTGTTGGCAAAGGTAGTTCTTTTCTTCCATATAAATACATAAGTATATTTTTATTGCTACATTGTTTTTATGCCAAATCCCAAATAGTTAATTATTCCTAATGTAAAATGTTGCTTTTGCAGACAAGCTTGTTGTCTCTACCTCTTCCTCACTCCTACACACCGCTGTGGACCTTGTAAACGAGACCAAGTTGGACGATGAAATCAAATCCTGGTTGGCATTTGCCGCTCAAAAGGTGGTTGAAGTTAATGCTTTGGCCAAGGCTCTGGCTGGTCACAAAGATGAGGTAAGTAATTGGATGTTTGTATTTGCTTGCTTATCAATCCTGTCTTCAAATAAGACACCTGGGTGACTGATTTGTTGTGCTCTTTTTTAGGCATTCTTTGCAGCTAATGCTGCTGCTCAGGCCTCAAGGAAGTGCTCCCCAAGAGTGAACAATGAAGCCGTCCAGAAGGCTGTAAGTGACATATATCTCGATTATTTTCGTTGGCATTGTTTTTAATCACCCAACTGCTGTAGCATTGCTGACATGTAGATCATATATGCCTATTTAGTTGTTTTTCTCCCACAACAGTACATCACGTACACAATCCATCCCATGTGTCTTGCACAATGGAAAATAGCCAACTGTTTGACATTTACTTATCGGAAGTCTGCTCCTTTCGCTTTCTCAGGCTGCTGCTTTGAGGGGTTCTGACCACCGACGTGCCACCAATGTCAGTGCCAGACTGGATGCCCAGCAGAAGAAACTCAACCTTCCGATCCTCCCCACCACCACCATTGGTTCTTTCCCTCAAACCATTGAGCTGAGGAGAGTTCGTCGTGAGTACAAGGCAAAGAAGTGAGTATAACTCCACGCTTTACTTAATTATTCATCAGGCAGATTTTATGATTATGACGTGTGTGGTTTGAGCTTCTGTTCTCACAAATCATGCCTGCGTAGGATCTCCGAGGAAGAGTATGTTAAAGCCATCAAGGAGGAGATCTTTAAAGTGGTCCAACTACAGGAAGAGCTTGACATTGATGTTCTCGTCCATGGAGAGCCAGAGGTATGCTTCCCCACCATAATTTAGCTTTCTTTTTTTTGAGTGAAGATAAGAGGCTAAAAGTAGTTTTTATATTGCACAGAGGAACGATATGGTTGAGTACTTTGGTGAGCAATTGTCCGGATTTGCCTTCACTGCTAACGGATGGGTACAATCTTATGGATCTCGATGTGTGAAGCCACCAATCATCTATGGTGATGTTAGCCGTCCCAAGGCCATGACCGTCTTCTGGTCCACCATGGCTCAAGAAATGACCAAGCGCCCAATGAAGGGTATGCTCACCGGACCAGTCACCATTCTCAACTGGTCCTTTGTTCGTAATGACCAGCCCAGATTCGAAACTTGCTACCAGATTGCCTTGGCCATCAAGGATGAAGTGGAGGATCTTGAGAAGGCTGGAATCACTGTCATCCAAATCGATGAGGCTGCTTTGAGAGAAGGATTGCCATTGAGGAAGGCTGAGCATGCTTTCTACTTGGACTGGGCTGTCCACTCTTTCCGAATCACCAACGTCGGAGTCCTCGACACCACCCAGATCCACACCCACATGTGCTACTCCAACTTCAATGACATCATCCACTCCATCATCAACATGGATGCCGATGTGATCACCATTGAGAATTCTCGATCCGATGAGAAGCTTCTGTCAGTTTTCCGTGAGGGAGTCAAGTACGGTGCTGGAATCGGACCCGGTGTGTATGACATCCATTCCCCTAGAATACCATCCATGGAGGAGATTGCTGACAGAATCAACAAAATGCTTGCAGTTTTGGAGACCAACATCTTGTGGGTGAACCCCGACTGTGGTCTCAAAACCCGTAAGTACGGTGAGGTCAAGCCTGCTCTTGAGAACATGGTTACTGCCGCCAAGAAGCTCCGCAGCGAGCTTGCGAGTGCCAAGTGAGGGAAAGAGGAGTTTGGGTTCAGCATCTGTAAACGAATAACTGTGGTTGTTGTTAGGTTTTGTGGTTGTTGAGGATTGGCATTTTGCTTGATCTTGTTTTAGGGGCTTTTGTATTTTTTGTTGTTGAAGATATTATGTACGTTGTTGAGGGGCTTTGCATACATGCCCCTATTGAATCAATGAATGAAAAACTAAAGAAGCTATTTTGTTCATCAAACTGGCCATCCTTTCAGACTTAATTATAGGATATGTTTAATCGCCAATGCTTTACTTCCACTTTTTCCTTTTTAATAATCAATTTAAACACAAAAGGGGTTCCAAATCTGTAAAAATATATCATTCTGAAGTCAACTATGGGTTGTTTGTTTACCTCTTAATAGTTTTATTAAGAGACAGTCTTTGAATTGTTAAGAGGTAAATTTTGTTTGGAAAAAAAAAATTTGTCTCTTAATGGTTCTAAAACCTATGAATGATTTTGTATCATGGTTTCTTTTAACCATTCAATGCCCTAGTTTCATCATAGATAATTATCAAACAATTATATTTCATTTACACTATATCATGAAAACCTCTTAATTATTTTACACTAAATCATTCAGCAACTGCCAAACAACATCTATGTTATGGCTTAGACTTGGATATACATGAGATAAAAACAAATATATTTATAGTTTAAAGAATTCAAAGGTTTTGGTTTCCGTTATGAATTGGTCTAAATCAAACCAATTACTAACATTGAGAAATATGTAGAATCTGAAAATCATTTTATAAAAAATGAGTAACAAATATAATTGATCCAACTATGTTTGGTATTTTGTTTTGTTCTGTCCTAAGAGCTTTATTTTAGTAGGTTTCATTGTGTGATCTGTTTTAATTCTTATATTGCTTCTAGGAATTTTTAGCTAAAAACAATGTTAAAAATGACTTGGGTTATACTTATTAAATGTCAAAATAGTAAGTTATAAACTATATTCAAAGTTTTTATGAGGTCATATCATTTCTCAATTTGCTTTATCACCAATTCATGCTTATAATCATTTTACAAAACAATGTTTATCCATTTCCTCCTCTTTTGACTTGTAATAGAATACAAAGATGAGGTCATAATTTGAAGAATTCTAAAAGGCTACATAGATAGATGTTGACGGTAAGGTGATTCAACATTTGGGGATTCTACCATCCTCACCAACCCTTTAAAGATGGGGGCATTTTTGTCATTTTTCTTCTTTTACCCAATCAAAATCGATTTTATGATTTGGGTCCTCATGATTTTTGATGGGTAAAAGAAAAAAAATGAAATAAAAACGAAAATACCCTTTATTTAACTGAACATTTTAGCGGTTGTTAAAACTAGTGACTAAGGGGCTGTTTACTTAATGCTTATCCGGTAAACGTTTACTGTTATAATTCAACAATATAATTTATTTTATGGATAAAATCGTAGTACATCAAAATGAAATGATATGCAACAATTTACTTGGTAAACACTTATCTGGGTAAGAGTCGTTACCCTCACTTACCGGGTAACTCTCTATCCTTATGATCAGTCTTACCAGGTAAGATTCTTGGGTCTTGCCGTGTTCATCCGATGAGAAAAATTACCCGATAAACACCTACCAGGTAAACATTTAATAAACTTCCCCTAAATTCAGATATTTTCTCAAGCCATGATAGCTATCTTGTAGTTTTAAAATTATTTTCAACAAACCACAAAAACCAAATTTATATAAGAATTCACATGCTGAAAATATCTGTTTTAATAAATACATTTAAAAAAAGTAAACATTTAAAAATACATGTTTAAGACTTTACACAAATCTTTTAAAATGATGATCCAAGGAAATTAAATTACATTTTTCGGAATATTTTTCTATTTTAAATGAACATAAAAAGTTCGGTGTATTTAAGTATTTAAAGTTAATCGTGTAAATTTACCATGTTACGATGCCTATTCAAATAGCAAGCTCAGCCGCTTATTGGAGCGCGTGTTAACACGTCTTCCTCTTTATATATATATATATATATATATATATATATATATATATATATTTTTTTTAAACTATAAAAAATATATAATTATACATTAAAACTACTAAGTAGCTTATAATTAATATCTATTAATAATTAACTATAAAAATTAACATTAATCATGATTGTAATTGAAAAAACAACGAAGTATACTATATTATAAAATATTTGATAAAAAATTTTAAAAGTCATTTTTTATGTATGAAATACTGTTTATTGAGGCATATTATTTAAAATTTAAGATTATAAGTAATTTTGCGTAAGTACAACTTATTAAAACTTTATTTTTAAATTCGTGTAACTAACTACAGAATTTTAAATATAGATTATCTAAAATATAATTAAGATAGTTATTGAGTTCTAACTTAATGTTTAATTATTATTTTTACAAAAAAATATATTGTTAAACCTAAAATAAATTATCATGTTATTAAATCTAAATTAAATTATAAAAAAACTGAAGTAAAGAAGTTACACAAAAAAAACGAGAACTACAAAATAGTTAATTTGATACTAATACCGATTTATTTTTTTAAATTTTTTATTCAAAAATAAAAACATTGTCGTTTTCTCAAACTCACATAAAATCGTATTATCTCGATAGAGACGATGAATAAAAACTAGACATTAAAATTGAGATTTATCTCGTTGCATTGCGCGAGTACCCTTCTAGTAAGCTCCTATAAGCTAACTTATGTTAGTACAAACATGTACTCAAAAAAATAAGATAGTTTATGTTTGCAAACAATGCCTAATTAAGCCTCATGGGTTGTAGTGGAAAATCTCGATAACATCTCGATTGATAACCCCAAAATTTTCAATTACAGTTCTCGACAAAATAAGCAAATCAATAACAAAAAATATATCGATACGAATTACAAGTTAAAAGTTATTAAATCACGATGATTGCACGATCATGAAGCCATAGTAAGAGTCGTCGCCCTCACTTACCAAGTATGACTCTTGGTTCTTGTCTTGCTTTTACCGAGTAAGATTCTTGGTCCTTATCATATATTCATCCATTAAGGTAATGTGACTTGGTAAGCGTTTAGTAAACGGCTCTTTAGAGATCCATATTCATAAATATGTTAAAGCTAAGGGGATGTTTGGTTTGGTTAGATGTATTAAACAATAATTAATAAGACTGAAAATAAAAGAATATGTTTAGTTTTATATAATATAATGAGTCAATTCTCTAATAAGCCCGAATTTTTATTCCAAATTAAACTGAAAGAATAAAAATTCATTGCCTGAAATAAACATCCCCTAAAGAAAATTATGAAAATTGCGAAGAATATTAAAATTGTTACTTTTTGAATTTGATTTTTCATACGATACTCCTTCATATATTCCATACTTTTTTTTATTAACCTGAATATTCGACCTCTCATAAGGCACCTGCTTTGCAAATAGCCTGAAGTCACCGCATTTGAACCTCCATGGCCACAAGGGAATTTTTTATTTTCCTTGGATTTGAATCTGAGACCTTCTGATACTTTTAACCTTTGGAGTCAAACTCAAACCAATTAGGCACCACCCTTGTGGTTCATATATTCCATATTTCCTTTTCATAATAAAAAACAAAATAAATAAATAACCACACAAGGGTACACGAATCTATCTTAGGGCCCTTTATTAAATATACTAGAAAGTTACTCGCATAATACATCGAGATATATATTGATCTTATTCGTTTATTCTTATCTCTATCGATGTCAGAATATGATTTTATGTGGTTTTAAGAAAACGATAATGTTTTTATTTTTGAATAAAATATAAAATTTGAATATATCATAAAATTTTGAAAAAAATAACATAATATAATTTTTGGTTTAATAATATAATTTTTTAAGTTTAATAATGAAAAAAATTATTTTTGGTATAATACTATAATTTTTTTATAAAGATAATAACTAAGTATATTGTTAGAACACAAATATTATCCTAATTATATTTTAGATTTTTTATAATTAAAATGATATGTTTATCATTTATTTAGTTATATTTATCTGCATTTAGCTACACGAATCAAATATACAGCTTTAATAAGTTGTAGTTACGGACAATCTACTTGCAATATTGAATTTTAAGTGATATGCATCAATAAACAATATTTTATGCATAAAAAATAATTTTTAAAAGTTTTTGTCAAATGCTTTATAATATAGTATAGATATATCGGATAAACATTTACCGGTAAGAGTGACTTTTCTCATTTACTTTGTCTGATAACATTTTCGGCCATCAAAATGAATTATTTGGTAGTGTCTTTTACCCGATAAGATTAACTGAGTAACAATTTTCTCCCTCGTGTACCGTGTAAAAGTCTTATCTCTCACTTACCGAGTAAAATTGTAAAAACCTTGATTGTTGCCGCATGCCTCTTTATTAGGTAATATTCTTGATCTTTGCAATACTCACATGATAAGGTTAGCGACATGTCATTTAGTAGACGACCTATTGGTTTGTGACATTCTTTTGGTTTAAAGACTATTTAGGGGCTGCGTGGTTGGTTTTCCATTAAGTCTTATATGAATAAAGATGTCTGCATAAATTAAATTATCAGTATAGATTGAGATTTTTTTTTTGTTTAAGGAAGTTTTTTCATAGATGCAATGATCTTGTTTTTTAATTAAGAGGGACAAAATTTAAAAAAAAAAAAAAA